CTTTTACTTCGATGGCACAGAAATTGAAATTAAGCCAAGCAGCATTAAATACCTTAGATTAGTTTTTTCCTCTGATCTTTCATGGTCATCCCACATCTTATCTATCTCGAAGAAAATGTTTCGTCTTACCTTCTACATTAAAAAGTTAAGACAATCAGGTATCAATCAACCTTTAGTTTTTGCAACTTTTACACTCCTGTATTTTACCTATTGTACTCTATTGCTCTCCATTAATCTTTCCTGGGCTTCTCAAAAAAGATTATATCATATTACGAAGAGTATTAAATGCTGTGAGTAAGGCTTGTGGTCTGCCACTGCATGGACTCCCCAATACTATATTCGAGAGGCATATAAATTCCTGTACAAAATGAACAAAGGCCGTACTGTCAGACCCCCTGCACCCACCGCCTTTATTCACACCTGTCCCCTTGTATCTCATCAGGTAAGATGAGAAGTTAATAGAAAAAGTTATATGCTCGTACCACTAAGTACAGAAATTCTACAATACCCTATTTAGCCAGTACTTTATGTGAAACTTACAAGTTACTATGTAATTAGCAAAGTGAATCGACCCTTTCATTATCTCTCTGTATTATTAGTGTCACAGTTTCTTTCGTTTAATTATAGTTGTTATTATTATTACTACAATTTTATACTTTATGCATATTTTTCTCCGTATTGCATACAGTGATTTGCTATGTAGCTGTTATAACAACGTTTTATTATAATTATGTAACGTTTAATTTTATATTTTTTTTGAGTAAATTAGATGCAATATTGTACTGGATGTTGAAAATTCCTTGCTGTATCATTAGTACTGTTTTTGGAGTAAAGCTATGATTATTATTATTATTCAGGTAGTTAGTTACCTGGGTTCCAGTGGGAAGTCGTGACCAGTAGGGTGCAGCTGGTCGGGTGTGAGGACAAATACTCGCCGAAGACATTGGCTAGCGGTCGCGCTATGTCGTGAATTGGCAGAAGTTAGAATTCAAGGACCATTGGATCGGGTCCCAGTGGCTTAATGGTATAAGAGCTCACCTTGTAACCGGAAGGTCCTGGGTTCGAATCCCGGTGAGTGCGTACTGCTGAGGAGTCCCAAACTAGGACGAAACAGTTGGCTGTCCAGTGCTCCCAGGTTTTCCAATGGTTCTCTAACTAATGTCAGCTCATGATGAAATCCTGAAACCAATCAAATACCTAGAAACCAACACTTGAATATTATTATTATGTTAAATAGGCACTCAACTACCGCCTTTCTTCTCACTACTCAATAACAATCTTAACCTTGTCAAATTTTTAATCCCTTCCTCCTTTGTACCGTTGAGTATTACGTAATTTACAACTTTTATTTTTTTACTTCTAAAGCTACTTCTGAGTGATTATATCAATTATGTCACACACCCCCCCGCTTATTACTCAATAGTAGACTACTATACGTGTTTTCGGTAAATATAAATAAGACTGTAGAGCCTCTGAAGGTGATTTCAGCAGTGGAGAAAATTTTCTTTATAACTCAATGGGTATTTTCGGTACTAGAGATACGTTTTGTGAAATGACACGGGTATTTCTCTGCAAATGATTTATTGGTGGTTTAAACTTGACCAGTCAGTTGATTTTTGATGCTGTCAATGAAAGGTGGTGTCATGGGAAATCGTAGAAACATTCGTCAATTAAAATGCACCTCAGACATTTTGCCTTCAACAATCATTTTGGTTTATCGGCACAGATTGGATTACATTTTGGGCGGTTGAATTTTCATGGAACACGAGTGCAGTCGCCGCATTGTACTGTGGTCGTGTATCTTTATACCCTCTTCATATCATCGTTAATGAACGCACCTTTGAAGAGATGTGAGTTTTATATTCGCCTTTTTTCTAGTTGGGACGGTGTTAAGAACAGCAGCCTCACCAGCCAGGGTATGTTGGCTGGGCTAAATAGTCACTAGGTAGTGCTTCAAGAGCATAGGTTCAGCAGGATAGATGACCAAAAAATATCATACATTTATTCCCCTTATTGAATTTAAATAAAGCAAGAACAACAGCGGTTTTTGCAGAATATCATCACACTGTTTATTTCGTTGGCTTCTCATCAGCTCAGCTGTTTACAGGCCAAAGTCATTATCAAGTGTATCTACAGGCAAAAAGAGCTGTCTGCAAGCCAAAACAATAACAAAGCTTAACCTTGAGGAATGCAACAATCAATCACAGAGGACTTAACATGTGTAAATGTGATTCGCAGATATATGGCTTAACTTTCTGAGAAATAGTCACAAGATGTACAGAATAACCTTCAGCAAGAAAATAACCAATCAGAAGACGTTGCTTCCCTGATGACAATAATGTACATAAAAATCAATAAATACCTCTTGATTTTTCTCAATAAACAATCTGTTGCCTAACTCTGTCGTTACACCCCCAAATAGCAGCCTACTTGAATAGCTACCTAGTCAACATTCGAAACGATGGATGGTGGTCAGTAAGAATCTCAACAGAAACATACATACTCATCTAACTGAAGAGTCTTTTTAATTTTATTGCTTTGCGTTCCCAGTGGAATATAGGACTTCAAGCTTGAGTTTTGAAGTTTCTGTAGCAGCGACAGGGTTACTAGCCTGACACGCCAAAACGTCCCATTTTATTCCAGGATTACAACCAGCCAGTTAAGATTTATGAATAACAATGAGCCAGTAGCCAGATATCACACCCCACAGCAGATGAGGCATGGTTGATCAACATTCTGCATGCCCTGGATCACCGACACACTGTGACTGACTGTGACAAGTGGACATTAGATGGTTGGCGAAATTAATCGGTCACAGGAAACCGCCGTCGCTGCCGTCTTGCTTGACCCAGTCAATCAGCAAGACTTATCTCTCTGCACCCCCCCAAACCTTAAAGGAAATCATGACTCTCCCTCTCTCCTTCTAAGATTCAAACCCATGTCGCTGCCCAGTGTTCCAGTCAGAGACGACAAGTTACCTAGAGAACCTAGAGTCTGTCTGTTTTCGACATAGAACTTTGCACCAATGTGCACCAGTTCAAGTCGTCACACTCCCTCCATGTACCACACAAAGCATGAGAAGAAGAAAGTAGAAGAAATGCATAATAGAGACAGTAAACAGAGGTGTCAGACAAAGGAATAGTAACAACGAAGAACAAAACAGTTTCATTGAAAATCATAGGTCACAAGGAGCGGATGCATCTGCGCCAGCCATGGAGAACGATTTTGAGTCATGTCACCAATTGTTTCCGACCATTGGTTTTTACCGTCCGGAGGACCCCAACCAGGAAGTCTACATCTTACTACGTGGCTTAGACTAACTGTTGTAGATTTCATTGACTGGTGAGGCCATGTTTTTGTTTGACCTCCACTAGCTCTTTTCCAGCCTGACCCTGTATCCGCTAACATTGCTCGTCGAGGAAGGCGACGACTAGGCATACGTAACACATGTCCTAACCATCTCAGTCTTTGTAACTTCACAACTTCGTCGATTGATTTCCCCTGTTTATCTAGCACTCGACTGATGCCTAACCTCAATATTGCTCACCTTATTATGCCACTTCACACGGTAGATAGAACGCAGGCACCTATGATCAAAGACAGCTAATCTTTTCATATGTTCCACTTTCAATGGCCAGGTCTCACTTACAGCCATAAAGGAGGACGGAGTGGACTGCTGAGCAGTATACACCACACGTCCTTTGCTCGATAGCCAGTCGGATATCACGTCTACTAAGCCAGAGACAGCGTAAACTGACAGGCATAAGCGAAACTAGCCCTCTCTATCCGTACTCAGCTGAGATTTCGTCAGAGATCAACCCGTGGACGTCGGGGCTGATGGTACTTCCCAAATATAAGAGAACCTAGAGAGGCACCATATGAGTAGGCATATTCATCATTAAAAAAAAACACATTGAGAGACAAAATAAAACGGTGCCCCATTTGTTACTTGTATTGTATTCGTCACATAATCACATCAGCAATAATAATAATAATAATAATAATAACAATAATAATGATAATAAGAATAATAATCGTCACATTGGTAGTAGTAAGTAGACTGGTTGACAAAAATCGCAACACATACACACATACTCACAATAAAAAGAAGCAGCGAGAGGAGGAGAGACAGGCAGGCAGGCAGAAGGACGAAGAGGAAAAAAAGACAGACACTCAGACAGACAATGCAACAGAGGCGGCAGCAGCAGGGACGAGCTGAAGAAGTCAATATATATATGTATATATGCCAGGAACTGAAGAGGTGTGTGCTTCAGCGCAAAAGGGTCAGGACAGGTCGGGACGGGGAAAGGGGAACAAACGGACAAACAGTGCTAGAGAGAGAGAGAGAAAGAGAGAGGCAGCATGGAATTTGCAAGGTAGGCCGCCAGGCATCACTGCATACACAGACACACAACGGCGGCGGCAGCAGCAGCAGCAGCAGAAGGAATGGCATCAAATACACAATGAGCAGAGTAGAACACACAAGAGATCGAAGAACAGGGAGATAATATACATATATGTGATGTGATTGGTGCATAGGAGTAGCGGCAGTAAAGGTAATAATAATAATGATAACAATAATAACTGGTTAAATATATATATATATATATATATATATAATTTTGTTGCGGTATACCGCCGCCATTCTCTCAGCATCACCATCTCAGCTGCGGTATAAAAAAAGACGTGACTGAACGGTACATTCCTAATATACGTGTGTGTGTGTGTGTGTGTACGGCGGATGTGTAGATATGCACGGAGAGCACAATTATGTGTGTGTATAAAGCCTATTTATTATAAGTAGTAAAAAGTCTGCCATTCTTTCCCACACACAGACACACACACACATTCAGAAAGGACGAGGTGTAAACTTTGTCTGTTGCGGATTGATGTAAGCGGATGAATGAGCGTGAAATACACAATTGTCTGAAATAGAAACTAGCTACACACACACACACACACACAAGCACACATACACTCTTTGTCTATCCAATATCTGTCTATGGCATAACATAACCTTCGTCGGAGCGTTCCCCTGGGGCGTAAGCACCTGAAAAACCAATATGCGGATCTGTTGCCTCATGTGGCATATGCCCACCAGGTACTACTACTCCTGGTGCTGGTTGAGCAAATGTTGGTGGACCACGTGTAGCATGCGTGGTCATTACACCAGTCATTGTAATAATGAAACCGTTCCCTCGACGTTCACATCGGAAACGTGTTGCTAACTCAGTGATGTAGACAGCCAGCGCGACAGCAGAGAATACCTGAAATAAGATTCAAGGGAAAAAAAAGATGAAAATAATAAAAAGGGGAATAGGAATAAAATATATCAGCTAGAGAACTATTGAAAACCAGCACTGGAGTACTGGACAGCTGCTGTTTCATCCTAGTTTCGGAATCATCGGCAGTACGCACCCACCGTCAGGATCTACCAGTTACAAGTCAAGCTAGCTCGTATACCATTCAGCCAATGGGACCCGATTCACTGGCCAGTCAACCCATGAATTCTAACTTCTATCAATTCGTGGTGCATTTAGCGCGACCCCAACCATTGTCGTGGGTGGGTCGATGGACATCTATCCTCACATGTGACATCTGGATGGGACTCACTGGTCACGACTTCTCACTAGAACTCCAGGAAACTTCATCCAGTAGCAAGTCACCAGAGAGCTAACTCACAAATTGCTAGAAGTTAGAATTCATGGGCTCGCCACTGAATTGGGTCCCAGTGGCTGAATGGTATACGAGCTAGCTTAACTTTTAACCAGAATGTCCTGACAATGGGTGCGTACTGTCGATGGTTCCCAAACTAGGATGAAACAGCAGCTGTCCACTACTCCCTGGTTTTCAATGGTTCTCTAGCTGACATCAATCCGTGATCAACTCGTAAAAACAAAATTAACCCTTACAAACCAAACTATAGAATATATATATATATATATATATATATATATATATATATACAACAGCAACAACATCCAACGTCAATCACCATCAACGGGAGGGATTTGAAAGAGGTTACTTCATTCACTTATCCAGGGAGCATTCTCTCAACTACAGGAGGAGCGGACGAGGATGTCAAATCGAGAATCGGGAAGGCGAGAAACACATTCATCAGCCTGAAATCAATCTGGAAATCTTCGTCACTTAGCATCACCGACAAAATTCGGATTTTCAATACAAACGTAAAGTCAGTTCTTCTATACGGATCAGAAACTTGGAGGGTGGGTCACAAAGAATATTTCCAACAGCCTGTTGCAGACCTTTATAAACAACTATCTTCCCTCTATGCTACTCAAGATCAGATGGCCGGGTCGGAAAGAATCACCAACAAGGAATTATGGAAACAAACAAAGCAAGAACCAATCTCCCAACAAATATGCAAGAGAAAGTGGAGATGGATCGGACACTCGCTGAGGAGACCGTTGGGTGACATCGCGCGTCAAGCCCTCGAGTGGAACCCGAAAGGGAAGCGGTGTGTGGGACGTCAGTGCAAGGGTGACATGGAGGAGATCGTGTGAAGAGGAGTTGAAACAGTATGGAATAACATGGATGCAGACGAAAAGTACAGCAGAGGACAGGAGAAAATGGAGACGTGCAGTTGAAGCCCTATGTTCCACTAGGAACTCAAGGGAGCAATAATATATATATATATATATATATATATATATATATATATATATATATATGCCAATATGAAATATTACTAAGCTTCCGGGGCGAGATGATAAATAGCGACAGTAGCAGCCACCGCCGCCATAAACGGCGTCGTATGGTCAAGGGTGGATAGACTTCAGTCTTTCTCTCTTGAAAGGTTTGTTTTCATCTCGTCACACATTCTTATTTTATTTATTTTTTTAATTTTTGATTACAGCTTGATTTCACACCCTATTTTCAGTACAAGTATGGAATTTTCAGCATGGATATCGGTAGTCCAAAATTTTGCAGGCCGACCATAGATATCAGCTCCTGCCTGTCAACTCCTAACTTAGTGATAGGGAGTGAAGTGATAGAACATGTTGACCACTTCACCTATTTGGGAAGTTGTATTAGCACCGACGGACTGATTGGCGACGAAATCTCAGCACGGATCCGAAAAGCTCGAGCTGCTTTCGCTAACTTACGCCATCTCTGGCGTAGGCGTGACATCCGGCTGGCTATCAACCAAGGGACGTGTGTACTGCTCATCAGTTCGCTCCGTCCTTCTCTATGACTCTGTGAAACATGGCCAATACGAGTTGAAGACATGAAAAGGTTGACTGCTTTCGATCATAGATGTCTGCGATCTCTGTCTCACGTTAGGTGGTTTAATAAGGTAAGTAATGTTGACGTTGGACGTAGAGTGTTGGGCAAAGAGGGAGAATCAATCGACGAGGCTATAAAGTTACGTAGATTGAGATGGCTAGGTCACGTGCTGCGCATGCCTAAACATCGCCTCCCCCGACGGGCATTACTAGCTGATATAGGTGGTGCAGGTTGGAAAAGAGTAAGTGGTGGCCAAACAAAAACATGGCCTCATCAATCCATGAAATCCTTGACAGTTAAACTGAGTCGGTCAAGTAGGGCGATGCAGACTTCCGGGTTGGGGCCCTCGGGACTGACTCTAGGAATCAATCGGTGGCTGGAGACAATAGGTGACATGGCTCAAAATCGTTGTCAATGGCCAGCTCAGATGTATTCAGTCTCTGTAATCTTTCATATTCCTTTCTACCATTACCCATTCTGTTTCACTCTTATACTTGTTAAACTCTATTGATTCTCTTCACTCATCTTCTTGTCTACCTTTGTGTGCTATTTGGAAGGTGGCAACTCGGACTGGTGCACTTCGGTGCCAAGTTCTATGTTGAATCCAGACAGACAGACAGATATCAGGTGTGCGTCGTTGGCAGGGGATCGAACCTCGAACCATGTGCATGGTCGGCGAGGGTCTTAACCACTGTGCCACCGACGCACAGTCTACCTCTAAACAGGTAAGTTCGATTCACTGCCTTTACGCAGTGAAAGGGAGAATTTAAACGCCTGTCGCTTACAACCGGAATGATGGACGTACTGATTGACTGGTGTCAACATAGAACTTCCCACAGATGTGTACCAGTTCGAGTTCCCACGTTCCCTCTATGTGGCTTACAAAGCAAAGAGAAGAGAAGCTTAAAGGAGGTTCAAAACACAGATAATAAAAGTGTGAGTGAGGGAAAAAGACCTAGGAAAGCTGGAAAAACTTCGGAATCCGAACATATGGCATATGATTCGGTCACCGGAAACCATGAGAATGTAGCTACTGAGGCTGCTGTTCTACTCCCTGGTGGATCAGATTTAAAGACAAAGGCTTGGAAGAGGGTGGCCTCTTTGTACAACTACCTGTTTTGCTTTTAGGCGTCCGAGAAGTATATCAGACCCCGCACAAACTATCGGAGGACAAATTTGTGTGGCGCATCACTTGATGCCCACTATAAATCAAGTTTATATCTTAATAAAAAAAATAATAAACCAGATGATCATTGAGCAAAGCTTTCTTTTCAGCAAAGCTATGAATCAATTTCTACAGTTTTATCATGGAAATAGGAAGTGAAGTGGTTGGTGCAACACGTTCAGAGAAGTTGAATCAGCCCCAGGGGACCAATTTCCGATGAAGTTTCAGCATGAATACAGAAGGCTAGTTTCGTATATGCCTGTCAGTTTATGCCGTCTCTGACTCAGTAGGCGTGAAATCCAGCTATCGACCAAAGGGCATGTGTACAGCTCAGCAGTTCGCTCCGTCCTCCTTAGTGGCTGTGAGTGAAACATTGCCATTGAAAGTGGAAGGCATGAATAGCCTGGCTAGCTGTCTTCGATCATAGGTGTCTGAGTTCCAACTCCCGTGTTAAGTGGAATAACAGGGTGAGTAATATTAAAGTTAGGCCTCGGTCGAGTGCTAGGTAAAGAGGTGAAGTCAATCGATGAGGCTGTGCAACTACATCGACTGAGGTGGTTAGGACATGTATTACGCATGCATGCCTAGCCATCGATCGCCAGTCATGTAGGGAGGTGTAGACTTCCTGACTGGTTGGGGTCATCGGGATGGTAGCAACCGGTAACAATAGCTGGTGACCATTGGTGATATGTCTCAAAATCGTTCACAATGACTGGCGCAGATGTATCGACTTCTTGTGACTTATAATGCCCAATAAAACTATATGGTTCTTCCATATTACTATTCTTTATGACTTAATACCCTGATTGTGCTTCGTTGGCATGGTGGTTAGGACTCTCGCCGACCATGCACATGGTCCGGGGTTCGAGCCCACGCCGACGCACACCTGGTATCTATGGTCGGCCTGCGAAATTTGGGCCATCGATATTCACGCTGAAAATTCCATACTTGTACCAAAAATACGGTGTGGAATCAAGCTGTAATCAAAAATAAATATATAATTACTGTCTCTATTTTGCGTTTCTTTTTACTTTCTCCCCTTGCTTTATGTGCTACGTGAAGGGAGTGTGGTGACTCGAACTGGTGCACATCTGTGCAAAGTTCTATGCTGAAACCAGTCAGTCAGTCAGTCAACGTAGAACTTTGCAGAGTTGACGCATACTCCATATTATTATTATTTTATTATTCCCTTGGGTTCCAAATGAAACATAAGGCTTCAACAACACATCTCCACTTAGTTCTGTTTTCTGCCATCCTCTTCAACTGGGTTCACGACTATTCATAGTCTCCTACTTCCCCCCCCCCCAACACACGATCTCCTCCATGTCACCCTTGCACTGACGACCCACTCATCGAACACCGTTTGGATTCCACACGAGCCATGGCCTGAATTGAGCGCGATGTCATTTGACGGTTTCCCCGACGTATGCCCGATCCATCTCCATTTTCTGCTACATATATGTTGAGCGCTCGGCTCTTGGTTGATTCGTGCGTCGGTAGAACGGTAGCGGTAGAACGCTCAGCAAACACGCCTCACGTGGTCCGGCGTCCAATAACTCGGTCGACACACTCGTAAACCTCGCTAAGCCGATTGTAAGGCCGACAAAGAAGGAAGGTTAACCGTGAGGCTAGCAACACGAACCCGTAAAAATAAAATAAATTCCCCAGCTCTTGCTTGGAACCTTATATTCCATAAAGAAAGTAGAGAAATTCAACAAAATTGTAAATGATGACAACGGGTTTATGACTATAATACGGTAAGGCGACTGAAACTTGTCTTAATCGTGTTGCTTTAACCTCGCCTAGTTTACTAGTTCGTTGGTTTTATAGCCGATTCCAAGCCCGGAGGATAAA